CTCTGCGGTTCTGTGGTCTCCTCGATCTTCTCTCTCTGGCTCCGAAACGACGTCTGATTTTCATCCCCCGGCGCCTCGCTACTGCTCCAGCACCTCAACGTCCTTGTCAGCTTCAAACATGACGGCTCCCTTTTCAGCTGCCGCGGCTCACGCCGACTACAAGTCGCCATCATTCACGCAGAAGGTTGTCAATGTGATGAGGAAGCAGTGAGTGGTCCACCAATTAGTGACCGTTACGCTCGAACCTCGGGCTGATTTTTCTAGCTTCCCTGAAGAGCTGGCTGAACGTAGCTGGGACAACGTCGGCCTTCTCCTGGGCAACCTTGAGACGGGCGGCGGCGAGACCAAGAACGCGAGTCCCGTGGTCCTCGTCACAAACGATCTCACGTATGCTGTTGCCAAAGAGGCCATTGCCAAAGAAGGCGAGCGTCATTGTCGCGTATCGTACGTCGTGACCCCCGCTCTCATTCCCCAGCTGAAAGTACTCACCTGTGGCCCAGATCCTATCATCTTCTCTGGACTCAAATCCATCACTTCCAAGGACGCTCAACAGGCCACCCTGATTCTCCTCGCGTCCCACGGCATCGCCGTCTACTCTCCTCACACGGCCCTCGATGCCGCCCCCAACGGCATCAATGCCTGGCTGGCCGACGCCGCTACCGGCTCCGCCAAGGGCACTCGCGCCGCAGCGCGTCTTACCGCCAACCCCCCCGAAGGCTTTTACCGGCGCCGGCGCCGGCCTCGTTGTCACCTTTGACGAGCCCCAGACTGCGGGGCACATCGCCTCGTCTCTCGCTGCCGCCACCGGGCACAAGCACCTCACCGTCGCGACACCGGACCGTTCCGCCACGTGGCGCGAGAGGCCCGTCAGGAGCGTTGCTGTCTGCGCGGGCAGCGGCTGGGATGTCATCAAGGACACGGGGGCGGACGTGTTTGTCACAGGCGAAGTGAGCCATCACAGCGCGCTGAAGGCCGTCCAGGATGGCATCTTGCTGTTCACGCTGTTCCACTCCAACTCGGAGCGGGGCTTCCTCAGAGAGAGGCTTGTGCCGCTCCTGCAGGGTGAGCTGACGGCGCTTGAGGCCGAGGCCGAGGTGCACATGAGCGAGGTTGACCGGGATCCCTTTGAGATCATCACGGTGTGAAGGTGAAGACTGGACTGGCGTGGTAGGAACGTGCGGGCGAGTATCAAGGATAGTCATTGACGATCGACTGGAGCAGTGCAAGGAAATCTCTTGACGATAGAGCGGAGTAGTCCAAGAAAATCTCTTGACGGATGACTAGGCATGTGTGCTCGTGGAGGAGAAGGAGAGTTTAGAGGGTCATGCATAGCCAACTTCGAGTCAGGTGTCGATACCATGGCAAACAAGCCCTTTCTCAAGCACATACGACCACACCCATTGGAAAACTCGGGATCCCGTCCGCTCTCCCATAGATAAGCCAATGAGGGCTGAACTAGTAGTTGGGTCGGTGACGACCAGCGAATCCTCGGTGTTGTATGTTTTTTGCCATTTTGGACTCGAGGGCGTCGGAATAGTTGCCCCCTTGAATCATTGACGGAGCTGGCTCATCGTCAGACTTTCATTTTTTGGGTAGGGTACCTACGTTGTGAAAGGTGGATCCTCTCCGTCTGCACGCTACGCTCGACCTGGAACTGCAAGCGAACCAATCGATGCGTGGCCCTACGCCTTCACTGCATCACGCCCTGCACGACGGCCAAAGAAGCAAGTTTCCCCGCTTCGAGCGGCTGCCACCCGCCCACGGCCCACCCTCCTCCTCCATTCGATCCCCTCTCCCGCAGGTAACCCAGCAGTCCAGCGGGAGCATCAATGGGAGTCTCCATTGACGGATCAGCTTGCCTGACCTTGCCCGGTGCCGGCTGCGACTGTACATCGTTCATTGTGGCGCCAGAACGGTGTAAGACCACCCGGGCTGTGGCCAATCGCCTGCCTTTGAGGGTGTCGTCGAGTGCGCCGATCACCGCTGGGAGCAACCTCTTGACCATCCTCTTCCTACTCCCGTTTATCGGGGGTGGAGGCATTGAGAGAACAACGTCTGATGAGCAGCAGTGACAGCAGCAGGAGCAGCGGCAGCAGCACAGTCGCACTGGGGCACAGCAGCACTGGAGCAGTTGGGACAACGCGAGACAGAGCCTTCGAACTCAGGCTGCATCGCTGGTGCCCTCTACCTGACAGGCGATCACGCAGACCAGAGGCGAACCGTCGACAAACCCAAAAACATCGGCTCTGCCAGGATCTGGGCCGGCGTCTGCAGCGTGGCGCGCTCCCCCGATGGCACACCCCCGCAAACGGCTTTGGTCCAAGGGAGGGGCATGTGCGCTTCGTTGGCAGCGCTCGCCGACCAAAAAAAAAAAAAAAAAAAAAAAAAAGAAGGCGACCTTTCCGTACCTGGCCTATGCTGCGTGGACCTGAGCTTGCACCTGGCGTGACATGGCATGACCTGATCTACGTATGTACTACCTGACCATCATTATCCCATCACCTGCTGGCGCGAGACAGAGAGCGCGAGAGAGCGAGAGAGCGAGAGAGCGGGCTGCAGTGCTGCAGCCGTCACACGACCAGGCTCGCCCCACATCTGGGCGCGCTTCTCCGGTCCTGGCCTCGCGTCGTGTCGGTTCGCCGCCTCTTTTGTTGTCTGGGGCTGGACCTGGACCACGAAGACGAGACGAGAGTCTCTCCACTCTGGGTACTCTGCGTTTGGGGGGCTGCGTGCCTGGCTGCCTGGGTCGTTGCTCTGTGCCTACCGACCTGCCTCCCGACCTCCCTCGCCTTGGTGTACCCAGTCAGGTATGGTGCCCAGTCAGGTATGGTACCCAGTCAGGCAAGGCTACCTAGCTAGCTAAGGTTTTTCCTCTATTCTGGATTGACGGACTGACTGACTGACTGACTTTGCACCCCCAAAGCAAAAGCCCTTTCGGCCTTTCGAGTCACCTTACCTCACCTCACCTCACCTCACCTCCCCAAGGTACCTAATCATTACCAATTGACGATTGCCGGCCCACCCCCCGTTCCGCCCTCCATCCGTCATTGCGCGCGCAACAGCCAGCAGGAGCCAGGCAGGAGGCGAAAGGCCAAGAAAAAGTCGAACCAGGGTCCAGGTCCAGACAGAGTCGACTGACCACCGCGTGCCTTACCTTTCAGGTGTAGAGAGAGAGAGAGAGACCCGTCCATCTACCATCCAGACAGACCTGCCCACCTACTCGCCCCAGGCCTCGACTTGCTACTGACCGACGCCGGGGTCTGCCCTCGTCGGATCCTACCTTGTTGAACTACAAAGACCATGACGCCGCCACCCGCCGCGGCTGGCACCATGGACGACAGGACTAGCTTGACCGCCATCTCGAGTCGAATCTCGACGACGCAGACTGACTCTTCTTCCGCTACTGCTGCTGCTGCTGACGCCGCCGCCGATACTAATACCAAGTCCTTGCCCGCCCCGACCCTCGACGCCGGCAAGCAGACGGCACCTGTTCGCCAGTGCCCTTGTCGCAACAGGGCCAAGAGTGAGTAGAGCCTCTTCGTCTGTCTCTTGTCTTCTGTCTTCTGTCTTCTGCCTGCGGCCTCTGTCTGTTTGTTTGCCTGTCTTTGCCCTTTCCGCCTCCTTCTGGTTTGCTGCTGCGCTGCTGTATTCACTTTCCACGCCCCCCCCCTCTCTCCAATCTGT